CGACTGGCACAGCTGGCTGGGGCTGTTCAGGGCATGGAAGATTCCCAGTCACCCACTCTCTCAGAAAGCCCGGAGTCGTCAGAAACCTTGCTGGTCAGAGGTCCTGGGGGTGGTTTAGAACCATCAGAGCTTGGACTTTTCTGACTTCCCCAGCAAGGATCTTCCTGCTTCCTGCTCCCCGTGTTCCCACCCTCCAGTGTTGGCACAGGCCCACCCCTGGCCCCACCAAGCTTGAACCAGAGGTGGAATCAGGCGGACCCTGAGCTGCACTCTGAGCGGTGTTCCTGGCCGTCTTTGTTACCTTCCTTGAGATTCCGGCTATTGCCTTAAATGTATGAGTGGGACTTGGCCAAGGCAAAAGCTGGGGAGACGCCAGTTACAACATTCAGTTAATGACCAGATTTAGGAATTGGGCGCTGAGGAAATTCTCCATATTTCAGAGAGGCCTTCCCTTATTCGGGACTCCTAACACCATATCTTTACTGGTTTGTTTTAAGGGAAAGGTTCTGCTTCCTGGGTGTGAGCAGAGGCTCCCGTCTTGCCCCTGTGGTTTGACTCTCCTTAGAACCACCACCCACCAGAAACATAAAGCATTAAAATCACACTAATAACCCTTGGGTGATACATCTGATGTTACGATCAGATTTACATCTACCCTAGTTCTTAACATTTCCCCTTTATCTCCATTTGCAGATTTTTCCTAGTCTCCGAGTAACATGTTTCTATCCTGATGCTTTTCGTTTCCTTAAGTTTTGATCTCCGTCTTCATGATGGAGCAGCCAGAGCACCGAGGATCTTGGCATCACCCACCAAAGTTAGCTAAAAGCAGGGCACTCCTAGATGAAACAGCTTTACTGAACTCTGGGGAATGGACCATTGATAGAAAGGAAGCACTTCTGAGCCAGTGACTGCCGAAAGGTGCGTGCTATGATAAAGCGGGTGGCCTATTCGAGGAAGAGGATGTCCGCCCCCACAAACACCTCTCTCCTCCCTGCACTAGCCGTCCCAAGCTTACATACACAGGCCCTTCAGGAGAGTCTCCCACACCACAGGGAGGGTGCGTGGGGAGGTTCTTCCTGCCAGCATGAAGCGTGGGAACCACCCCTGTCATTCAGTGTTGTCATTCTTCTCCAGGCGGGCCACCCCCTCTGACTAGGCACCCAAAGTGAGCATCTGGGCATTGGCTTATCTTCCCCTACCTTCTACATTGCCATCTCAGTCCCATCCAGCATCCCTGGGGCAGACGTGCTTTGGCTCAAGATGGACTTCATTTACGTTTAGTTTTTTTTTTTTTTTTTTTTAATGTTGAGTTTGCCCACGGGCCTCAGTGCCTGGCCCTGGCAGCACAGCTCTCTCAGGCTCAGCCCTGGGCGACCTCCTTGGCCAAGGCTACCTTTCACCCTGGGGTGGGCATCAGTCCTGGCTCTGCCAGTTCAGGTCTTGCACTCAGCACACTGGGGAATAATTCCACTCCAGAGAGGGGGCTGCTTCGAGTTCTTTTCCAGCTGACTGTGGCCCTTTCCATTTTCCCCATTTTCTTATCTCTTTGACCAAAATTACTTTGACTTCTAAATGTTTCTGCCTTCCAGAATGCACCTGACATGTGAAATGGGGGATGATACTCCTAGGAAATGGTACAGGAAATCACAAGGACCAAAAAGGCAATACTTATTTAAATGTGTTTGGCCAGCTGCCACTGCTTTATGGCAGTGTTCAGAGCTTGATCACATTATTTCTTCATTTTACTAAAAAGGAAGCCAGTTGTCCAAGTCAGGAGAATGGTGTGATCACCTGTCACAGACACTTCATCCCCTCTCCCTGCCCCTTTCTGGAGTTACCAGAGCTAACGCCCTGCAGGAGGACCCTGGCCTCTGGAGGGTTGGATCAGCAGCCGCTTGCTGACCTGGTGAATGTTGTTGGAATTCATCCCTCGTGCCCATCCTGTTGTGTTTAAGTCACCAGATATTTTGTTCCCATGAGTTTAGCACAGAGATAGGCAGTAGAATGCAAATGCCTCCCTCCCCTAAACTTACTGGGCGGCGGCCAAGGAGGCCCCAAACCCAGGCCCCATGCAAAGGCACATGGTTTCCTGTTCTCTCTGCATCTGCCCTTTCCAGATAAGTCCAAAGACAACAACTTCTCCACTCGTGACAGTAAACTGTAAGCCTCGCTCCTTCCATTTCTGTTCATTAGAAACCAGCCTTTCAGCATCTCACCCATTAGCAGCCCCATCACCGAGTGATAAGGCGCCTCAGTCAAACAGATCCTTGGATGGAGATCCTGCGTGTGGCTAGAGGTGGTGGTTTGTGTTTGGTCTCCAGCTTGGCGTCTCGTGGCTCCTAGGCGAGATGATTGGTGAGCAGGACTGAGGGGTCCCCGGCCCTGGCTGTGGGACCTTGTGCTGTGGGATGATTTGCTCATGACCTTGTTTAACAGTTCCCAGCTGGAAGGGACACTTTCTGGACTCAGCCCTGTGTATGACATTTGTGCTGCAGAATTAGGCACTGACAGGAGCCTGGGTGACAGGAAGGCCTCTCCGGCCCCGCAGTATTGACGTGCAGTATTGCCCCACGGCTCTGCGGACCTTGGCCATTGCCACCGTCGCAGCTTCCTTTTTCTGTTTGCACTGTTGGTTTGTATGATGTGAGCTAATTCCACTGTGTATATAAATTGTATTTTTTTTAATTTGTAAAATGCTATTTTTATTTGAACCTTTGGAACTTGGGAGTTCTCATTGTAACCATAACATGTCAGAATAAAATGTCTTCTGTCTCCTTTAGCCTTTTGTCTCCATGCTGCTCTTTCTTTCAAGGGGTACTTGGTTTTTATTTTATTCCCCCTGTTTCTGATGTGTGAAAATTACACTAGGACATGGCTTTATAGTCTCAGAGCTCTCCCTATGCAGCTGCCCAGCAGGGCTCTTCATCCATGGGAGTCCATTTCTCTGTACCAAGCAGCGACCTTAATAAGAACGGATTTCATCCTGTGGGTCTTAGTAGAAGTCAGCAGTATCTGTTTCTCCCTGATGAGCACTCTTCCCGATCCTGTCCTCTAGACACCATCTCCTCCTGCTAGCAACAGCGTCCTGGAGCAGCAGATGGGGAATCCATTCTATTAGGAATATTTCCCGCAAGCAGATGCCCTAATGTCCAACCAGAAGTGAAACTGGCGCTGGATCTGGAGAGGTGGAGACCCATGGCCAGCTTCTGTCGCTGCTATCTGCCATTGTGTTTTGGTTGCTTTCAGTTTTGCAAGAAGCATGGCCTCTGTCTCCCTCCGACCTGCTTCGAGTCATCATTCCATCAGGGACAGAAACAGTTGCAGTCAATTCAGGCCTAGCACCTAGCCCCAAGTATTCTGGAACTCCAGGGGTGTGTGTATTTGTCATGTCTATTCGATGAGAACTCCCTGTGTTACGGAGATGCCTTGGGAATGGGCCCAGCTGCTACTTCCCCTGCTGACAACTCGTAACACTGTAATACTGTGCCAGACCTCTGGAGCCAGGTTTGGGCCAGCACTGTCTCCTGTTGCTCTTAGCTTCATCCTTTTCATTCTCTATCTGCCTCCCAGTTTCTGCCCTTCAGTGTGTAAAGCCCAGATAGGGAACATTTTGATTGGAAGTGGTTAGATGAAGCTTTTTCCCCACCTTCACCCGCTGTCAGCAGTTCACGGGGACCCTCCCACTTTCCTCTGCAAGGAGCAAATTTCCATTTCCTTTCCTCTTTTCCCAATTTCTCGACAAGACCAAGGCAATTTGACCAACATTTAGGGGGCATCAACTCAGAGTGCCAAAGAGGCATTTGCCCTCAAAGAGCTTGCAGTCTAGGGACGTAGACAAGCAATTGCACACTGGCAGCTCATGTTGTGTGCTACTATTACTGTTACATGTGAAATGCTGCCTGTGAAGAGATTCGTTACTGGGCATGAGATATCAGGGAAGAAGTGGTGCTCACATGAGCCTTAAGGAATGAGTACAATGTCCTCGGGAGGACCAGAGGAAGGAAACCCAGGTGAAAGAAACAGAAATAAGGGCACAAGGGCACATGTGGGTGTGGGGTGTTGGAGTGCCATAGAATCTGATGAGAGGGTGGAGTCCATGGGTAACAGGTGGGAAGACAGGTCACTCTGTTTAAGGTGAACTTCAACCCTGGTTTTTTGTGCTCAGAACAATAGCCTTTTCAGGAGCAGATAGAAAAAGCCTGTATCTTCTCCGGTGGTTCTTATTTTAGTAAAATACAAGCCCAGGCCCTTTGGACCCGAATTAGTCAAAGACTTTGGCTATTTTCTAAATACTTGTTAGTACAACAAAGGCACATAAACTCAGTTTGTCTGCATGGCAAACCTGTCTTCACTGTGCTCAGTTTTTATTATATTTTTGAAACAAGTCTCATTCTGTCACTCAGGCTAGAGTGCAGTGGCATGATACCAGCTCACTGCAGCCTCCACCTCCTAGGCTCAAGCCATCGTCCCACCTTGGCCTCCCAAATAGCTGGAACTACAAGTGCACATCACCACACCTGGCTAATTTTTAATTTTTTTTTATAGAGATGGGGTCTCACTCTATTACTCAGGCTGGTCTTAAACTCCTGGGCTCAAGTGATTTGCCCATCTTGGCCTCCCAAAATGCTGGGATTATAGGAGTGAGCCACCATGCCTGGCCTGCTCAGCTTTTAAACTCAACACTCTGCCTATTCTTTTCAAAACTAAAAAGTACCATTAACTTATCTGTAGCATCTCTCTCGAAATGTATCAGAGAGGATCTAATTAAATACTTTCATTTTCTGAATGTCCCCCTCTAAAAACAATAAAAACCCGTGTAACCAGAAACCACTGTGGGTGGAATTTGAGGCCTCCCCAACGACCCACAGAAAAGGAGGGAGAAATGAAAGGAAAAAGAAAAGTTGAGCATTTGTTTTTCTCTGACAAAGAGTAAAATGACAAGGAAAATCAAGCTGAACTCTGCCCGGAGACGGAAGAAATCACACCAATGTGGGCATCTGTCTTCTGTCCATGGTGCTGAAATTTATTCACTTTCAAATCACTTTCAGTAACAGGTGAGGTTCTACCTTAAAATTTAATGCATGGGGTGGGAGAGGCGAGGAAGCCACAATCAAACCACTTCATCTACAGTTAGCATAAAATATGAGAAGTGTTGACAGGAAGCCACAGCTTGGATGGGATGATCACAACTCCAGGGCAATGAGATGACACGAAGTTGCAGGAGAGACCCCAGGGGACAAGAGTCTCTTGCCATCTGCCCCAGGGCCCAGCCCTCCTTGTCCTCCCTGGCTGTTATCTTCGGTACTACAAAGAGAACACAGACATATCTAGCGTGGTGACCTGGCTGTACTGGAAAAGTCAGCTTCATTTATGAATGTGCCCATCCTCTGACCTTGATTACTGATCACCTTCCCACCAGCCCCCATCCTGCCTGACGACTCTCTGAGCTTCATGAATTGATAAGCAAGTTACTCAGCAGAGTAAATGTCACTTAAGCCCTTCAGGATCTTACAGTTCTGGAGAGGAACATGAACTGCTAATCAGCCATGCAAAGATAACTTGGACCTATGAATATTTTAATTTCCTAGTGCTAGTGGCAGTCACTTTTTTTTTTTTTTTTTTTAGCATTTTCTCAGCAGACTGTAGCTGAGGATGATAGATGGTGTGTCCTGACACCTATGGGGCACTCATGGTGTTGGGGCAGAAACTTCGGAGGGAATAATTCCTGCTAAAGGTGTCTCCCAATAGTGTTCATCCCATTCCATTTCCATCCCCAGTTCCTCTTACCCGGAAGCTGTTACAGCCCAGTCCGCTCTGGGCTCCAATTCTGTCCATCCTGCCCCCAAAGCAACTGGATCTCCGCAGGCTCCGTGGGGCAGTGAGCAATGCCCTCAGCTTGCTTTTTAGGAGCGCAGATCTATCGGAGGAGTCCCAGGGGCCCCGCCCGAAGGCACCCCCATCTCTCTGGGCTGGGCTGACATCCCCAGTCCAGGGAGGCACCTCAGGGAGGGGGCTGAGGGCAGCCCCCGCTTCTTCATTCTGCTCACTGAGCACTTGTGGGGGCACGACCTCATCTTCTAAAGGCATCTTTTCTTCCAAATGGTCCAGCAAATTCTTTACAAAAGAAAAATACAAGGAAAGGGATAAGCCTCATTGACTTGGAGAAAATCAAGAGGAACGAGAACAGCATCAAAAGTCCCCTGGCCCCAGACTGCACCCACTTTCCTGGTCCTACCTTGAAATCCATCAGGTCTGCGTTGGACATGGCATTGTACACGGGGTTAGCTCTGGTCTGATCTGGAAGCTGGAATGCCAGAAAGAAGAGGAAGCTCACGGTGACAGTGGAGAAGGAGCCCATGCTGGTGTAGTCAAGGAGCGATCGACTGCTTGCTGCTCTGTCTCTCCCCTCTGGTTCCTCTCTAGTTCCCCTCTCCTGGCCTACGTCCGTCCCTGTCTCCAAACTGCCCAGCACCTCCTCTTTTTATAGTCCTCCCAACTCTTCAAGCACGCAGGAAAGATAGAACCCTCCCCATTCTGTCACTTGCAGCGATAAAGCAGCCGAGAGAGAAGCCAGCAGGAGATGCCCTTTTAAAGTTATCATCCCACAGGGCTTGTCACAGCCCCTCTGCCTCGGGCAGCCCCAACAGCCCCCCAGACCCTCAGCTGCAAGAGCTGAATTCTTGCTGATTTGACTCAAGAGGCTCCCACTTCAAAGGTGTGGGAAGAGCAAAAAAGAGTCCTTGGTTATCTCACCGCCATGCCTCAGGATTCTTTCTCCTCAACACTGGTACCCATGCAGGGAAACAGAGGGTGATATTTGGCTGGTGCCCAGCTCCCCCAGGCTTGTCTGTGGCTCAGCTGTCAGGGCCTCCAAATAAGGGTGGAGAGGAGAAAATGGCAAGCAGCCAGCAGCCTGAGACAAATGGGTCCAGAGGCTCAAGCTGGCCTCACACCTGCCTCATCTGCCATGTGGCCTAAAACAAGGCCGCCCTCACCCCTGGCCGTCTGTCTCTCTCCATGGTCAGGTGAAAAGGAGTTATTTGTTAGAATATGAAGTCAGCCAAGAACCAAATGTGATGAAGCTCCCAAGAATTCAACCCCCAAACAGAAATATCAAGAAAAGCCGGGGAGCACAAGCATCCTCTCTCTAAAGCTCCTCCTCCTCCACGTCCCCAGTGACCCTCCTCCAACCTGCAGTGGGGATAGGCTTTGAGAACACAACCAATTTCATTTCATCTCTTGCAATTTATAGACACTCAGACTTGTACGGCTCCCTGCCCTTCCTGGACTTGTGCCCATGGCCACTTGGTCAATGAAGGGAGGGAGGTGGGAATGAAGGAGGTATAGTCAGTTTCCCTCAGTGCCCTCCACCTCATTCCCTGAGGCTAGGAAAGTGACTGAGCCACCAAGGTCACAATCTTCCTGACCCCCAAAAGAGAAATAACAGGCAGCGAGTCTGTCTATGGTGTTTGTTTTTTGTTTTTAGGGTTTTTTTTTTTTTTTTGAGACAGAGTCTCACTCTGTCACCCGGCTGGAGTGCAGTGGCATGATCTTGGCTCATTGCAACCTCCACCTCTCGGGTTCAAGCGATTCTCCTGCCTCAGCCTTCTGAGTAGCTGGGACTACAGGCACACACCACCATGCCAAGCTAATTTTTGTATTTTTAGTGGAGATGGGCTTTCTCCATGTTGGCCAGGATGGTCTCCATCTCTTGACCTCATGGTCCACCCGCTCAGCCTCCCAAAGTGCTGGGATTACAGGCATGAGCCACTGCACCCGGCCAAGTCCAGCTATGTCTAATGAATGGCCTGTTTGCTAAGCACGGAACTCAGTGTTAGCCCTTACCATTCAATGCAATGTATACTTGGGGAAAACACTAAATTTGAAGGGTTGAGAGACCTGCACTTCAGCCCAAAACAAACCAGTTGCATACATCTTCATGGCCTTATTTTCCTGTGTGTAAAATGAAAAAGAATGTAAAAACCGGCTGGGCGCAGTGGCTCATGCCTATAATCCCAGCACTTTGGGAGGCCAAGGTGGGTGGATCACCTGAAGCCAGGAGTTCGAGACCAGCCTGGCCAACATGACAAAACTCTGTCTCTACTAAAAATTTAAAAATCAGTTGGGCGCGGTGGCACGTGCCTGTAATCCCAACTACTAAGGAAGCTGAGGTAAAAGAATTGCTTGACTGTTGGAAGCAGAGGTTGTAGTGAACCAAGATGGCACCACTGCACTCCAGCCTGGGCAACAGAGTAAGACTTGGTCTCAAAAAATATAAATAAATAAAGTAGAAACCTTCCCTGCCTACCTTGGGTTGGCAGGGTTGTTGTGGAGCCCAAGTCAGCTGAAAAAGTGTAAACACGTATCAAGTGTGCAGTGCTGAGTCCCTGCAAGATGGCCATGATAGTTGTCTTTATTGATTGCTTATAACATGCCCGGCACATGACTGAGAGCTTTATGGAAATGATTTTATTTTGATCACCATCCCCAGGCAATAGATATCATTGTCCTTACTTACAAAGGCACAGAACTGAGCCTGAGAGGCTATGCCACTTGCCCAAGGCCGCCAAGTGCCTAAGTAGCCGAACCAAGACTGGAACTCCAGGTCTGACATTGATGTCCGTATCTTAGTTTATTTCACATAGAGTACAGCCTCCTCATCCCTTAGCTGCATTCCCCAATTAAACCCTCATTCCTTATCTTTCAGATGCCCCAAGGGAAGTCCTTCACCTTCCCTGTGTCCCTGGGACTATAGCTTTCTGTGCGCTTACCAAGTCTGTTTCTGTTCGGCTGCTCTTCTGATCTATTTCTATACCGAATATGTTTTAATCCACTCTTCGGAAGCTCAGAAAACATGTGTTGAGTGACCAGCTCTGTCCTGGCCAGATCTGTCCCTAGCTGTGTTGATCTCATGCTTGACTAGGTGGTCAGGGCGTTGTGCAGCCGTAAAGTTGGAAATCAGGGCAGCAAGTGGCCGGAGGTCACAAGAGGTATCCAGGGTAATATTATTCTAAGACAAGATAAAAGAGGCCCTCTTTGGCAAGCCTTGGGGGATGTGTGTTTGGGGGGATCTAATATTTCACGGCATGGTTAGAAGCAGCCTGTAGGAGTGAGAGAGAAGAAAAGTAACAGACACAGATTTGGCAATTGATTTGGGTCAGCCAAGCTCAACTTGAAATCTGAAGTGGGTGCAATCCTTTTTTTTTTTTTTAAATAAAGACAGGGTCTTGCTATATTGCCCAGGCTGGTTTTGAACTCTTGGGCTTAAGTATTCCTCCTGCCTTGGCCTTTCAAAGTGCTGGGATTACAGGAGTGAGCCACTGCACCCAGCCTGAAATGGGTGCAATTCTAAGTAAGAGCTTGCAGGACAAAAACCTCTCATATCCTGACGAGCCCCTGGAATGTGCTCGCAGCTGAATTGCTCGATTGGCAGGGTTATTATTAGCGAAGAGGATCCAGCGAGCACCCTCAGTGGGGGAAGCACATGCTGGTGCTGCGTGCGTCATACCGTCTGTCTCCTGGAGATGCCCTTTGAGATGGGCCTTTGATATGAGCAGGGACTTCCGTGGCGATGCTGCTCCTCTGTCCTGAGCCACTGCTGAAGACTGTAGGTAGCCCAAGGAGAAGCGGAAGTCCCATCCCAGATTCCAGAAAGAGAATTTCAGAATTTGCCCACCTCCTTTTATTAAAATCACTTGTCCTTTTGCAGAGTGAAACTGGAGTGGGACATGAGTGTCATCTGTTGAGTCTCTATTAGCCAGGCTTTTTTGCAGGGTGCAGGGAGGAAATGGACATTCAGTTGTGCTGCCCTGAGGGCTTTGAATAGAACCATCATCTCCTGCACTAACAGAGCCCCACAAAAACACAAACATCCTCAACAGCACTTATTACCCCAGATCTTATTAAAGCGCAAACCAGAAAGTGGCTTGATGTAAAATTTCTCTTCATTTCTATGCTCCCGCTCAGCCTGGGGGGATGAGTGTGGGGGGATCTAGTATTTAATAAGGTGGTTAGAAGCAGCTTGTGGGAGTGAGAGAGAGGAAAAGTAACAGGCACAGAAAGCCAGGCCCACCCCATCCCCACCTCTCCCACTGACTGAAAACTCAAAAGCCCTTTATTTCCTCATCACTGGAAAGATGTCATCTTAGTCAGATGATGGGTGGAGCACTGCAAATGGGTGGGAGAATTCAGAATCCGGGTGTCACCAGCTTCCGGCCCAGAGTTTGGCTTCATGATTCTCTGGGGTTATGCCGTGGGCTGCTGCAGGGAAACCCAGAGTGTGCAGTGTCAGCCGTGTGCAGAGCTGGCACGACAACCCCAACGCATTCATGGCATGATCCTCTGAGACCCAGATGGTCCAAAGCAGAAGCCCCCGTTGGGAGAAATTGGTGCATATTTAGGGATGATCACTGCTGACTTTGAAAATGAAATTTTGTTTCTTTGGTATAATATGGAGGTCACTAGGGGCTGAATCTTGGGGACAGTTTCCCTAGAAACAAAGCCCAAGGCAAAAGGTCACTTGCTGAAGTTTTGTGGGGTTTCTATTCAAAGGAAGCAAGAGTGAGGGGGAAAAGAGTGAGAATGTTTTAGTAAACTTCTGCGGAGTGATAAGTCACCCCAGACTCAGCACCATGGCTCAGGCCTGTCATTCCAACACTTTGGGAGGCTGAAGTGGGAGGATCACTTGAGCCCAGGAGTTCAAGACTACCCTGAGCAACTTGGCAAAACCCTATGTCTACTAAAAATACAAAAAATTAGCCAGGTGAGGTGGTGCGTGCCTGTTGTCCCAGCTACCCTGGGCGCTGAGGTGGGAGGATCACCCAAACCTGAGAGGTTGAGGCTGCAGTGAGCCATGACCAAGCCACTGCACTCCAGCCTGGGTGACAGAGTAAAAACCTGTCTCAAAAAAACAAAAGCCAGGCATGGTGGCTCATACCTGTAACACTAGCACTTTGGGAGGCTGAGCAGGAAGCTCTTTTGAGCCCAGGAGTTCCAAGTCACCCCAAACCTTAGCAACTTCACACGATGCGCATCTATTCCCTCATTGTCTCTGTGCTCTGTGGGTCAGGGATCTGGCCCTGCTTGGCCTGGGGCCTCTGGGCAATTAAGGCATTGGCTGGGGCTGCAGCGGTCTCAAGGCTTGGCTGGGGGAGGATGTGCTTTCAGGCTCACTCCTGCAGCTGTTGCAGACACCGCAAGTCCTCGCTGGTTGGTGACTGATGCCAACATCAGTTTCTTGCCACATGGGTCTCTCCATGGAGATGCAACTGTCTTCTATTAAGTCCATCAAGAAAGAGAGGGAGGTTATGAAGAAACCACAGTCTCTTTGTAACCTAATCTCAGAAGTGACATCCCATTCTTCATGTCATGCTGTTCTGTGGCCCTTAGAAGTGAGTCTTGGGGCCGGTCATGGTGTCTCACACCTGTAATCCCAGCACTTTGGGAGGCCAAGGTGGGCAGATCACAAGGGCAGAAGTTTGAGGCCAGCCTGGCCAATATGGTGAAACCCTGTCTCTACTAAAAACACAAAAAGTAGCTGGGCATGGTGGCAGGTGCCTCTAGTCTCAGCTACTCAGAAGGCTGAGGCAGGAGAATCACTTGAAGCCAGGAGACGGAGGTTGCAGTGAACCAAGATTGTGCCACTGCACTCCAGCCTGGGTGACAGAGCGAGACTCCAAGACTCCATCTCAAAAAAAAAAAGAAGTGAGTCTCTGGGTCCCACTAACACTCTCACTTGAGGCCAGGCGTTCGATACCAGCCTAGCCAACATGGAAAAACTCTATCTCCACTAAAAACACAAAAATTAGCCGAGCATGGTGGCACATGCCTGTAATCTCAGCTACTCAGGAGGCTGAGAGAGAGGAATCGCTTGAACCCAGGAGGTGGAGTTTGCAATGAGCCAAGATTGCACCACTGTACTCTAGCCTGGGCAACAGAGTGAGTGAGATTCCCTCTGCAAAATAAAAAAAGAAAACGTTTTCTGAATGACTGAATCAATGAGTTTGCCTTCCTCCATAGCTATCTGAGTGCCCATCACTGCACTTTGCCCTCCCCAGGCACTTGCAAGGAGGCAGAGCTATGCTCTGAGAAGCACATGGGTTCTTCTCTGTCCCCTGAGGCAGAAAGAGCCAGAGTGGGAAGCCTGGAGTGGGAAGGACAGTCAGGAATCTGGTGCTGCAATGTGGGCAGGAGTGGTGAGGGCCAAACCCAGGAAGGGAAGGCTGGGGTGCAGGAGATGCTACGAGGTAGGAGGTGGTGGGCATAGTGCCTGCTTTGGGTGGTCCAGCCAGAGAACAGAATCAAGGAAGATTTCAAGGCCTCCATTCATCAAGGGTGGGGCCCTGTAGGAAGGTGGGCTTACTTGGGAGTGTCTTAGATTAAGTTCTCTTGAACCGGAGACAAGGATTCCAGTATTAGTGACAAATCTCGGAGACAATCACAGGAAATGTCAGTGGAGAGTGGAGAAGTGACACAGGAAAAGTAGAAGTCATTACCTTATAGGTCCTTGTGGGAGGAGGAGGAGAGACACAGAGCGGGAAGATGGCCACATGATGTTGGAGACCGGGTTGGGAGTGGTACAGCCACAAAAAAGTAGAAGTGACCATCAAGAAAGAGCGCTTAATCCTCCTCCCACAGAGAACTCAGAACACATATAAGACATATGCCACCTGTGATTCGTGGGAGATGGGGCTCTGTTTTATTTTGTTATTATTACTTTCATTTTTTAAACTTATTTTATCATATTATATTTTTTTGAGACAGGATCTTGCTCTGTCACCCAGGCTGGAGTGAAGTGGCGATTTCAACCCACTGCAACCTTGACTTCCCAGGCTGAAGTGATCCTCCCACCTTGGCCTGCCGAGTAACAGGTACCACAGATGTTCGCCGCCACACCTGACTAATTTTTTTTCTTTGATTTTTAGTAAAGACGAGATCTCTCTGTGTTGCCCAGGCTGATCTCGAACATCTGAACTCAATGGATCCTCCCACCTCAGCCTCCCAAAGTGCTGGGATTACAGGCGTGAGCTGATGCACCAGGTACAAGCTGGGTCTTTAAATGCCAACTCCTGGCCAGGTGCAGGGGCTCAAACCTGTAATCCCAGCACTTTGGGAGGCTAAGGTGGGAGGATTGCTTGAGGCCATGTGTTCAAGATCAGCCTTGGAAATGTAGTGGGACGCTCCATCTCTACAGAAAAATAATTTCTTTTAATTAGCCAGACATAGCATGCTACTGTAGTCCCAGCTACTTGGGAGGCTGATGTGGGAGGATAGCTTGAGCCCAGGAGTTTGAGGTTGTGGTGAACTGTGATCATGCCACTGCACTCCACCCTTCGTGACAGAGCAAGACTCTGTATCTATTAAAAAAAAAAAGAAAGAAAGAAAGAAAGAGAAAGAAAATGCTGACTCCTGCCAGATGTTGGTTGGGCACTGCGCTTCCTGCCGACCCCAAGGAGCTGAGTGGGCTTCAGCTGCCAGAGAAAGTCCTTAGCAGAAAAGTGTGGTGCTGCTGGATGAAAGGAATGATGTATGTTGAGGCAGTGAGGTCAGGGGCTGTGGGCCTCTGCCGAGACAGAGACGGGGGAGCTAGAGGCAGGAGAGTAGGGGCCAGCATCCGAGGGCAGATGCTGAGTTTGGTTCTAGAAACGCTCTGAGGAGCTGTACACGGCAGGCTCCAGATCCAAGGGAGAAATGGATCACTTGGTGGAATAAGATTGATTATTTAAGCTAAGGCAGTAGATGAAAAATCCTAGAGAGAGGCTGAGAGCTACAACATGAACGAGGACAAATGACCAAGTTCATGACTTGGTTTAGACCCAGCTCTGCAGGAAGAGAAATGCAGTTTTTTTCCTTGCCACAAATCATTCTCAGAAGGGTCAAAGCAGCCATAAGAGGGAGGGAGAAGGGCTCGGCGTTCCTTGAGACTGTCCCAGGTGCAAAATCACTGACATGAGATGAAGCATTCAGGCCCAACGTGGTCCTGATGTCTGTGACCTCAGTGCTAGAGACCTGAAAAAGCCAGTTCATGCTCTGTTGAAACTTCTTCCATCTCTGAAGCCAGGGACTAAATCTCCTTGATCTGCATTCACCGACACAACTTCCTAGAAAGATTAAAATAACAAGAGGCCGGGCACGGTGGCACACACCTATAATCCCAGCACTTTGGGAGGCCAAGGCAGGCTGATTACTTGAGGCCAGGAGTTCGAGACCAGCCTGGCCAATATGGTGAAACCCCATCTCTACGAAAAATACAAAACTTAGCTGGGCGTGGTACACACCTTTACTCCCAGCTACTCCAGAAGTTGAGGTGGGAGAATCGCTTGAACCAGGAGTCAAAGGTTGCAGTGAGCCAAGATTGCACCACTGCACTTCAGCCTGGGTGACAGAGTGTGACCTGTTTCAAAAAAAAAAAAGGAGTTTTTGTAAGGACTATCTGACTATGCCTGGTACATGAATGAGGACTTTATGAATATTAACTATTCTAATTATTCATTGCTTTCCCTGGGTCGTTAGACATGACTCACAGTTGGTGAAAAATTAGACATGACTCACAGTTGGTGAAAAAATAAGCTGCCCCTAAAACCTCATTTTTATTTATTTTATTCTCTTTTTTGTTTGTTTTCCGATACAGGGTCTCCCTCTGTCACCCAAGCTGGATTACAGTGGTACAATCACAGCTCACTGCAGCCTCCCTGCTTCCAGGCTTAAGCGATCCTCCCACCTCAGCGTCCTGAGTACCTGGGACCACAGATATGCACCACCACACCCAGATAATTTTTTTCGTTTTCGTTTTTTGAAGATATGGGGTCCCACTATGTTGCCCAGACTGGTCTTGCAACATCCTTCCGCCTTCAAGCCATCCTTCCGCCTCGACCTCCCAAAGTGCTGGGATTATAGTGTGAGCCACCGTGTTTAGCCTAAAACCTCATTTTTGAACAATTTTTTTTTTTAGATGATGGAGTTTCACTCTTATCACACAGGCTGGAGTGCAATGGCATAATCTCAGCTCACTGCAAGCTCTGCCTCCCAGGTTCAACTGATTCTCTTGCTTCAGCCACTCGAGTAGCTGGGATTACAGGCACACAGCACCATGCCCAGCTAATTTTTGTATTTTTAGTAGAGACAGGGTTTCACCATGTTCAGGAGGCTGGACTCGAACTCCTGACCTCAGGTGATCCACTGGCCTGAGCCTCCCAAAGTGCTGGGATTACAGGCAGGAACCACCACGCCTGGTCTAAACAATCTTAATTTGTGTCATTAGCTATTCATAAATCCTCAGTTGCACCCTGAGTTAAAATGATAAATAACACAAAAACCCACCCTCTAGTTCCCTCTCATTCAAAGAAACATCCAATGAGAACATCAGAAAGGACTTGAGAGTGAAATTCGAGGCCAGGAGTGTGGGGCTGAAGAGTCAGAGAGCACAGGCTCAAGAGTCACCTGGATCTCTGCTCAGTCCCCAGCACCAGCGCTTAGTGGCTGTGTGCTCTTGGGTAGGATGCTTGCTTTTCCTGGGTCTTTGTTTTCCCATTTGGAAAATGGGCATAATAATAGTGGACCTCATGGTGCCTTACCCCTCAGCTGAGCTGGAATTATAAATGGCATTGTGAGAAAGGGAATGGCATGAGACCCTTCCCAGGAATCTGAAAGCAGAGGAACTCAGCACTGTGGGAAGCCTGGATTGCAGGGTGTGTGGGAAGAGGACCCATAAGAGGAGATTGCCCCCCACTGGTTAAGGCAAAGAGAAGAACTGATACAGCCCTGGGGAGGAGCACCCTGGAAAGCTGGGCCAATCGCCAGACCCTCTCACTTTGTGGGTTGGAGTTTTGAAGGCTCCTTTGCAGGATGACACCAGGAATTGGAGTTTAAAGCTGAGATTTGGGGCAGGATGGAGGGCTCACCCCCATAGAGGAATGCAGATAAGCCACACACAGAGACACACGCACACACTGCCCCCAATCACTGACATTTTAGCTGAGACACGAAAACAATAATCCCCAGGGTGAGTGCTTTAATGGTGGGATTCCAGGAAGAGCAAAAAAGAGTGGAGAAAATGGCTGGGCACCTGCCCTCAGGTTGCTCAAATACGTCAGGGCCATTGCACACCCAGGAAGAAACTGTCCTGCTTTGAAAAGCCATTTCTCCCAAGTGCCTCAAGTGTTTGCAATATATATGAACATTTCAGAGCATTAAAAACCCTGAAAGAAAAGAAAGCCTGCTACTCCCGGGGCTGTGTCCCCATCCGACCATGAACATGCCTTGAGATCACAGGGCTTTGTGGTTTTTGTTTGGTTGGTTTTTTTGAAATGAGGGATTCGTTGTAATGCACAGAGACAAGTCAGTTTCAAAAGATAAAGCTTATGATGTTGACTTTATTTCACCATGGAAATTTTGTGCTCAAAGTTAAGAAACCATCTTATATAAAACAATCAAATAAATACATAAATACATAAAAATAAATAGGAGTCACTTCAAAGGTGGTTGCAGGGTTGAGGAAAGAGCCCTTTGTGGAATCAGAAGCCAGTAGCTGTAGCCAGGACTTCCTCTTACTACCACCTCAGCCCTGCCAAGGAAAGAGAAAGTGATGATGGTTAGGGTGAGAAAAGGAGGCAGGGGCTGAGCTTCCCTCACTGTGTGCCACCCGCCACGCTTTTTAGTCATCAGACGTTTGAGGCTTGATCCAACTCTCTGAGCCTCAGTTTCCTCATCTGTAAATCGGGGATTATCATCACTCTGGTGATCCTGCTCTCTGCCTTTGAGACTATAGACAGTTTAGAGGAAATGTTTGGTTCTTTTTCTGCACCACTGAGAGGCTGCCAAATGATAAACAGACCCCAAGGGAGATTCTGCCCCTTTGATAAGAGAGGTAGGAGGTGGGGAGAAGGTATTGCAGGCATGGTAATGAATGAGGCCCACATTTACTAACTCCACAAAGACAACCCTTGGCCCTGCAGGCTGTTAACAAGAGGAAGTGATGTCCAGGTGTCCTTTTTTCAAAGAGTGTGGTGCCTAGAGACAACAAACCCTGAAGTGACTCTAACAGCATCACACACTGGAATGGGGGCAGGCGGGAGAGATGGCAAGGGGGTGCTCACTTTTACAGCCCAGGCCACTGGAGAAGCTGATCCGGTCCATCCTCCGCCCAAAGCAGCCAGTGTCTCGCATTGGCTTGAGGCTTCGTGGTCCCCGCAGGGTGGAGAGAACCAGTTTGCGGAGCCCAAAGATGCCCTCCGTGGCTGCCTCCCGGGCCTTCCAGACAGCTGTGGGATGAAGGCTCTTCTGGAGAGGCTCCAGGGATGTCTGCTCTGCCTGCAGCTCTGAGAGTTTGTCCTGCAAATGGCCTTGCTGCTCCTGCAATGGATGGGGGAGTCCAAGACTCAGGGTCCCACCCCTGGGCTCACCAGCCCTTCATGGCACCCAAGTGAACTGACTGCCTTGGGTCCTGGCACCCAGTCTCTCCATTTTCTGATTCCTTTATCACTAATTCCAAAGAGATGGTGAGGGTCTCTTGGGACAGCAGGTGGGGACCCTTTCACTGCTGCTGTCCAATCTCCCTGAGTTGCCCTCTGCTCTCACCTGTAACCTGGACGTTTCCAAGTCCGAGGGCAAAGTGGGGCTACCCAACGGGTGGGAATGACCTCCAGGGAGAGCCAGGTGCAAGAAGAGCAGGAGCAGGAGCACCCGGGAAGATGCTGTCTGGAGATCCATGTCTCTGGAGGGACTGGCAGAGGCTGCTGCTGCGATGCGTCTGAGTTTGCTTCCCACCTACCCTCAGCCTGCTCCTCGTGGCTCCTCCTGGCTCCTCGGGACACTGTGGACTTTTATCCTGGAGCTGATTGTCCGGCTGGCCCTGCCCTGCAGGGTTATCTCTGATTTATCAGCCACATTCCTGGCCGCTGAGATCAGGGCCCGGGAATGCGCCCCTCTGCGCCTGCCACGCGGGAGGTGGAGATCCGGCAGAGCAGGCCTTGTATAGAAGTGGGCCAGGCCGGGCCGGGGGCGGGAGCGCCCTGGAGACACTGACAAGTCCCAGCCTCACGCTTCTTCCTTTCCTGCAAAAGTCCAGGTGTCCTAGGTTGGCGCTTTCGTCTTGCCTCCACACCCCACCGTGGCTGGAAAAGGCAGGGAGAACCCCGGCGTTCCGAGGCCAGACGTGAGCGCGGGGCTCACAGGGTGACTCAGAGCGAAAACAGCCCGGGCCAACACCCCGCCACCCACGGCGCGTCTCCCCTCCCCTCAAGAGTTCCCTGGCCCGCACGTAGCGCAGCACCTGCTCGCCGCTGCTGGTCCCCAGGGCGCCCTGGCCGCTGTCCGTGGTGCTGATAGTCCCGAGGGTGCTCTGTGCAAACTCTCAAGAGCTGCTCTCTTCAACCGAATTTCCAGGCCAGAAAGATCTGAATGGAGCAGGAACAAGAGACCTCTAAGACCCTTCCCTATGATCTCACAACCCCCCATCCCATAACCTTTACAGCAACGGGACGCTGATTCCCAAATGGCAATGCATTAAAAGCCTGGGTATGACCAGGAACTTCTGGAATGCTGACCCTTCTTTCACCCCTGAAAGGGAAGAGCAGATTTCACTGGAATTTTGAGAGACAGGACCCAGTAATGATGAAGTGATCCAGGAATGCCTCATATGTGTCTCTTTCAGGTGTCAACACCTCCTCTCCCCGACCAAGCCAACACTGGATAGAAACAGAAGGATGGCTGGAAAGATGGTTATCTGTTTGCTGGGACACCAGAGATATTCAGAGCTTCCCTGCCCCAATGCCTTCTTCATCTGATCACCCATGAACTAATTCTCATTAGCAGGTGATCTGGGCCTCCTGTCTGTGATTTGAAATGAGACTCTGAAGAGAAATGGTCCTGGGAAAAATCACAGCAGCTTAAATACCCACCTAAAGCATATATGACCAATGTTACTCCCCTTCCAGAGAATCTGTGCCAACAAGTAGCAGGGTGGAAGAGTGGCGCTGTCTAGGAGGAGAGATGGTTATGGCAGAGAAGGACAGCAATAAGAAACTGGGACCTCCAAGCAAATCTTGCCTAAAAAGTAGCATCTGCCCCTCAAGTGAGAAAAGTATCATTATATTCCTCATTTCAGACCAGAAAATGGCGCTCATGAATACATCTACTTTCTAAAAGTCACCCAACTGGCACATGATAAAGCCCGGATTCCAACCCCAGGCAGTCTGATTCCAGACCTGAAGCTTATAATCTCTGCCAGAGTGATCACAAGGTGTTTCTACAAAAAGCAAGCTTAGATGAATCCCCGGTCATCTGTGAAGGCTCTGAGAGCTGTGCTGTGGGGGATGTGCAAGTCTGGTGACTGTATGTGCAGGAGAAAGGATGGGAAGTGGCTCAGATGAGATTTTGAAGATGAAATGAAAATGGGGGTGGGTGGGTAAGGGCTGTGTAAAGACACCAGTGCTGGAAATGTTCTTGGGGCTGGGGTAGTTGTGTGTGTGTGTGTGTGTGTGTGTGTGTGTGTGTGTGTGTATGCATGGGCATACCACAGGGAGAGTCTCAAAAGGCTAAGAGGAAGTCAAAGAGGTAAGAAAATTCATCCAAGTGCAGAGCTGAGTCAGTGAGTGTGAGGCTGCAGAGAACCCCTCATATAAAGGGTTGGGAGCAAGGCAGGATTCATCAACCAGCACCATCAAAAACTGACTCTGCATCTCGCTGGAGTCTCACTTTGCTCTTCAGCAAAATGGACAGTCCTTGCGAGGACCAAAAGGAAGAACATAATTTCTGCAAAAGCCCATAGCACTGCAGAAAGGGCCAAATAATCAAGAATACATGAGAGTTGGTCTTTATACTGAAGGAGATTGTGATCTCATTGGGGAGACACAGTGACCCCAGGTGGGACAATTAAATGTTTAAGTGTTGTACACTCTGACAGAGTTTCTATCTAACCCCAGTGGAGGGAATTGTGGAAGAAGACTTGAGGGAAGGCATAGGACTAGACAAATCCTCCAAGGCCTGCTGTCCTGGGAGGAGACAAGTTGTCAATCAACTCTCACACCAGATCAGCCCCATCAACACTACAGAGGTCCTGACATGTGCTATGTGTTTTCCATGTCTCTTCAATGAAGCTAATCATACCACCTCTGTCACAGCATTAATGTGCAAGGATTAAACTTGATGATTTCATTGGTAAGGTGAATAATAGTCCCCAAAAGATGTCCACATCCTAATCCCCAGAACCTGCGAATATGTTACTGTACATGGTAAAAGGACTTCCCAGGTGTGGTCATGTTAAGGATCTCAAGGTAGAGAGATTCTCCTGGATTATTCAGGAGGGCTCAATGTCATCACAAGGGTCCTTATAAGAGGGAGGCCAGAGGATCAAGGTCAGAGGGAAAAAATGTTAGGTGGAAATAGAGGTCAGAGAGGAAGGAAGAAGCTACACTGCTGGTTTTGAAGATAGAGGAAGGGGCTGCAAGCCAAGGAATATGGTCACCCTCTAGGAGCTGGAAAGGGCAAATAAATGGATTTTTCCCTAGAGCTTCTGGAAGGAACATGGGCCTGCTAACACCTCAGTTTTAGTCCAGTGAAACAGATTTCATATTTCTGATGTCTGCAATTAGAAGAAAAGAAAATCATGTTCTTTTAAGCCAACAAGCTTGTGCGACTTTGTTTCAGCAGCAATGGGAAATTAACATAGTATATGTCAAATGCCAGGCATAGGGTCCAGCCCATGGTAAGCCTTCAGTAAATGTTGTTGTGGTAGTAGAATTTGTTCCCCACCAGTGTCCAACCCTAAGTGCTTAATTTAGCCATAGAGAAAAAAAATAAGACCCTTAAGTCATTCAACAAACTTTCATCAATAGCCTGGGGTCAAAGTAGTCCATAGCCAAGACTGAAGTCAGAGTCTGGGGCTCCATTTCACATCAATTTCTTGCTACCTCTGTGATCTTGAGCAAGTTGTTTCCTGTCTCTCCTTGTTTTCTCATTTCTCTACCTCAGGGTTGTTGTGAGCATAAAATGAGACTGCGCAGGTAAAATTTAATATTTCTGCTGGAAGCTGGGGATGCATAAAGGACAAGAAAGTCCCTGCTATTGAGAAGCTTACAGTGCAGGGGGAAAGGTAGGCACATCACAGGCTCCCCAGGCTGACACAGTGAGTGACAAATACAGCAGCAGTGAGTCCTGGTTGCCCTGTGAGCACAGCAGGAGTGTGCAGCAGAGAAGGGAGCTTGCTGGAGAAGGTGGGACTGGGCTAAGGCTTTGAAGGATAAGAATGAGTTAGCCAAAAGAAGGAAGACAGAAGATGGGGAGTGCACTCTGGGCAGAGCAGATGCACAAGCAGAGGCTGGAAGGGCTGCTTAATGGATCAGCTACCACCACTAGGTTCTCTGCAGAAGGAAGAAACTGTGCAGAACACAAGGTTTGACTGGTCAGTGAGCACGACTCCAGCTGCAAGATTTTTCTGTAGCTTCCCTCTGGCCTCAGTCTCCAGCCCAGTCTTGGGCAGCCAAAGTGAGTGGTATGTGAGCACTGAGCACCTGGGGGAAGGTGAAGGAAGAAGCAGAGGAACACGGACTCAGGAGGCAGGAGGCAGGCTCATCTCTGCCCGCGGCTGACGCACTGCGTGGCTCTGTTCCGGGGATTCTGCTCGGGTTGCTTCTCTGTTCTGGGATGGTTTCCCTTTGTGCAGAATGAAAGGATTAGACTAAGGTTTCTGCCAGCCACAAAATCCCTAACTGTAATAAATCAACTCATTCTATTCTTTTTTTTTTTTTTTTTTTTTTTTGAGACAGGGTCTCACCTGCAGTCTTGACCCCCCGCCAAGCTAAAGCAATTCTCCTGCCTCAGCCCCCTGAGTAGCTAAGACTACAGGCATGCACCACCACACCCAGCTAATTTTTAGGATTTTTGTGTGGAGATGGGGTTTCGCCATGTTGCCTGGGCTGGTCTTGAATTCCTAAGCTCAAGCAATCCTCTTGTCTTGGCCTCCCCAAGTGCTGTGATTACTGCTGTGAGCCATCACAGCCGGCCAGCTTACCCCAATTCATACATCAGTTTGCTAGCTCCCACTCCCCCAGTAGTACCTCTGTCTTCTGCTGTGACCCTTAGACTTCCTCTGAAAGCCAGAAACCACTGCATAGGCCCATTGGATCCTTCACAGCTGTGGCAGACATGCAGGTATGTGTGCAAGTGTGGTGTGTGTGTGTGTGTGTGTGTGTGTGTGTGTGTTAGGGAGTGCTTTGGAAACCAGCATGGGTGTGTAGACCTTCTCTGCTCTTGAAGTAAATCTCCAGACTGATGGTTAACAGAGGGGGCTGAGCTTGGCAGCCTGGAATAAAATAGTTATTAATTCCCACCACTCAGTCTGCTGTGATGGCTCACACCTGTAATTCCAGCACTTTGGAAGGCCCGGGTGGGTTGCTTGAGCCCAGAAGTTGGAGGCCAGCCTGGGCCACATCGTGTGACCCTATCTCTACCAAAATAATAATAATTAGCTGGAAAATAAATTAGTTAATTAAGTAAAATACAATATTAGCCAGGTATGGTGGTGTCACCTATAGTCCTAGCTACTTGGAAGGCTGAAATGGGAGGATCACCTAAGCACAGGAGCCCAGGATCACCCCACTGCACTCCAGCCTGGGCGACAGAGTGAGACTTTGTCTTTAAAACAACAATAACAACAACAAAACCAAAAATTTCCAACCCTCCATGTCCAGCTTTACCAGCAATTTCTGAGCATAGAAATGACTGCGTGTTACCAGGTATTCGCTCACTCTCTCTGTCTTTCCCCTCCACTTCCTCCCTCTCTGCCTCCCTCCCTCCCCCTCATTGCTATAGCCTCATAAAGAACAAGAGACTCTGAAA